AAAGCCGTTACAATTACGAGCAGGGAATACCGTTAGCTGTTAGCGCATACATATGCAAATTGTACATATATCAAATATATAAAGGGGGAATATATATGTTTGGGGATTTTGTGTGTGCTGGCTGCTTTTCAATTTTATCCCTTTTATTGGCTCTGCATTTGTTCCAGCTGCTTAAAATTCATACGCAAATACTTGGGATAAGTTTTGGTGGGTGCGTTAGGGGGTGGCAAAGAGGGGGCTTATAAGATTGCTTGGTCCATAAGGTCTCCCGTCAACCAGCTGCCAAAAGTTTCCTCGGCGCTTTGTGCAAATTAGTTTATTGGAATTTCTTGTTTTCCATTTCGCTTCGATTTATTCCCTCTCGAAGCGAATTGCGAAAAGGAGGGGAAACAATTTTGGCGGGAAAACGAGGTGGCATGTGCGTAAAGATTTATAGTTTCCCGAGTTCTTTGTGCTTATTAAAAAGTTTTACGCTTTTTATACCCTTGCAGAGGGTATTATGATTTCAGTCAGAAGTTTGCAACGCAGTGAAGGAGACATTTCCGACCCCATAAAGTATATATATTCTTGATCAGCATCACAAGACGAGTCGATCTAGCCATGTCCGTCTGTCCGTCCGTCTGTCCGTCTGTCCGTCTGTCCGTCCGTCTGTCCGTCCGTTTCTACGCAAACTAGTCTCTCAGTTTTAAAGCTATGGGGATGAAACTTTCGTAGAAGTCGTATTTCTATTGCAGGTAGTATATATGTCGGAACCAACCGGATCGGACAACTATATCTTATAGCTCCCATAGGAAGGATCAAAAAAAAAAAACGTAAAAAAATTCTAGCTCCGGTGTTTTTTTTAATTTTACCTTCTACTCTTGGGAATATTTTTTTCTATATATTTCTGAATTTCGGTTTTTTTGTTTTTTTAAATCGGATCACTATATCATATAGCTGCCATAGGAACGGTCGAAAAATTAAATGGAAATTAATGGGAAAAAATTATATCTTTGTTGGTTTTTATTACATTCCCTTCTTCTCTGGGATATGACTATTTTGAAATATTTCCGAATTTCGATTTTAATTTTTAAAAGATCGAACTACTATATCATATAGCTGTGATAGAAACGATCGAAAAATTAATGTGAAATAATAAGAAATTTAACATTTTTGCGATTTGTAAATTAATAGAATGATCTGCAAGGGTATATAAGCTTCGGTTTGCCGAAGCTAGCTTCCTTTCTTGTTTTTATTCAATTACTTTCTTCTTTTTATACGAATATTTGTTTTATAGAAGAAAAATACTTTTACACATATTTAAAAGATGTATAATTCACACATCCTAAAAGATTTCGGAAAATTATAAACGCAATTTTGTAATACCTATGGAAATGTTGTAGAACTTCTTCAAATCGGACTATTCATTAAAAGTTATGAGCAAATATTTATCCATTAATCCATTGCCAATGCATTGGCGATAGATAGGCAAATAATGGAATTCAAGCAGTGCAAGAAGTCGCTTTTCTGCCTGCATATTTCCATCTCCATCGCACTTTCTTTAGTTGAGTAACGTTTTCTCTTGTTTTTTAATATTATAAAATTAGACACAAAATATGAGGTATGCAGCAATGTTATGCAATTCTAAAGTTCATTTTTTAATATCCCTTTTTTTATAAATATCAGGAGAACCTTATAAACAGAGTTCATTCTTCCCTCCGAACTAGAGGCACTTTAGTTTCGTCCATAACTTGCTAAATTTATAATATTACGTGTTACACACTGTGGGAGCCAAATGGGGGGAAAAGGGGGGCCAACACACACAGACTATTAAAATTTTAATGAAAATGATGTCCGCTGGGACGGGTAACAACGTTCTCGCATTGCCAATGAAGATGACTCACCGAAGTCGGAAAAGCGGGACGGGAAAAGGGAGAAAAGCTTTGGCTAAGGCTAAATAATGTAACTGCTGTTGAGGAGAAAAACGTGGCAAAGGGGGAAAATTGCGGGAAAAGCGGGGAAAATGTGCGTGCAACTGCTATATCAATATCAACACACACATAGCGTAGCACATCCATTTCAAATACAGGTGGATTAACATTGAAATTGACTGACACAAACGCAAGGTTCGCTTTCCTCAATTTCTCCTTGGGGCGGATTTGCACGCAATTATACTCATATGTAGTAAAAATAAATTTAAGCCCCTAGCTTAAGTTTTTGCTATGGTCAAGCTTTAATATTTAAGATTTTTTTTAGCTTAAAAAACTATAGAGGGCTCTAAATAAATCGCTAAGGCTGTCAAATCTATTAGGTCTATTAAGGTGTCTAAAAGTATGCCAAAATATTTTTCTCTGCATTCTTTTAGGCACCTTTATATTCAAAGATTTTTGATTATTTTTGTCACTATGATAGTATAATTATAATAATATACTTCAGTTTATTGAAATTTCAGTTTAAATTTAATTGCAAATATAAAAAGTGGTTGCAATTTTACCTGACATTACATAAAATGTTTGTATATGCAGACATATATTTATTTATATTTCCATTGCGGCCTTTGTGAGTGATTTTAGCATTTTCTTTGGCATTAAAACTTGTTCGAAAGTGTGTTCGCCCCTGGCAAATGTCAGTACCCCCGTACCCCCACCCCCTCGAGCGACACCCCTGAACCTTCGAAAGCCCCCCGTTTAAGGGTTGCTTCTTCCCAGCTCCTTTCTTCGTTTTTTTCTTTCGCCCGCGGCACAACGCCAAATCCGTTTAAATTTATGGCGTGTCATTGTTTTGGCATAAAATTAAGTGAGTTCATTGTGGATGGAGGGGGTGGAAATGTAGTTAAACATGCACAGACATGCATGCAAATGATTGCAGTTGCCACACCCCCTCGCTGAGAACCTCTGATTTTCCCGCCCCCAAAAAAGATGGGAGACCCAGTTCACATGTTAATGAAATTCAATAAGCGCTGCCTACTTTCGGGCGCGTTCAGGACGATGTCTGTTCATAATGGCCTGCCCTTATACACTGAAAAAAGTCAAATAAACTTAATATTAAAAGTATTCCAAGATAAATATAACATTAACAAATAAATAATACAAAAATTATTTTTCTAATTTTCTTTAAAATAATAATTCTTAAATATTGTTAGGATAAGCTTCTGGCAATCCTGAAAGTGAAATTATAAAGCTAGTTTTTAAAGTCTTGAAAATTATACGAAAATATTTACTTCTCTTTGTAGAATTGTATAAATAATTAAAAACCATCATTGCTGGATACTTATTAGAAAAACAAACTTAACAACAATTTGTTGAATCCTTTAAAAAATGTAAATTAAATTAGAAATAATAGATTTTGTATAATTATAGCATTTAGTTATAATTGAGTGTATTATGCAGAAATACAGAGTTTAAAATAACTTAAACAAATTCCATCAATTTGGATATTCTGATTTTTCCAAGTGCACCACCCCTACCCCTCTCAGCTAGAAGCTCCTCCCTGTAGCCTAGACTTCCCCCCTTTGCATTTCCCCCCTTCATCGCAATTGTTCATCTTACCAAGCGAGGCCGCAACATGGAAAATAATTTATAAAATTCATAAGCGCCTTTAATTTATGAGAACATCCTTTTCCCCTTCTCCTACTCCCCCGCCATCCTGCTTGGTCCTTTCTGGGAATCCCCCTGATGCCCCGGAGCAATTCAGTGTAATTTTAATTAATGCTAAAACGGAATGCGAATGCTAAACGACCAGGCGACGGTTAGAAAAAGGCGAAGACACAAGAATAGCTTGGGAAAAATCAACGAAAACAATTTCGAAAAAAAGGAACAGAGAAGAAAGTTCAGAGACAATGCGAGAAGGAAACTTGACAGTATAAAGGAAAAGTAAGGGAAAAGCGGTGGGAAAACAGGGACCATTTACATTTGAAAAGGCTGGGAAGAGCTGAGGTTTTCGAATAATAAAGACTTATACTCTATTTTTTGCTATGATCTAAATACTATTTGAGTGAGGTAATAAAAGGGGATACACTGTAGATGTGTAAAGCACATTTAATTGTACATTTCATTTCAGAAAAAATATCATCTTATTTCACTTATCCACAATAATTGCTGAAATTTGATCTATAATTTCTTAATTTCTTAATAAATATTTATGATTCTGTTTATTGTTTCTCCCAAAACTTAACAGATAATTATCTAACCTAATAAAACTTTAATTAGTAATTACTAGTACATTTTTTTTTAAACTTTGCAAACCAAAAAAATCTTTTCTTTAAAATATTAAAGTTATGTTTTCTCACCTTTTTCCTTTTGCCCTTTTTCCTTTTGTTAGTGAAAACTTGGAGACAAAAAATAAACAGAGTCTCAGACGTTGGCAAAAGTTGGCTTTACTTATGATTAATGCCAGGCGACAATGGCCAAAAAGTTGCGACTTTTCTTCTCTTTTTTTTTTGCCTGAAAGAGTGGAAAAAAGTTTGTAACGTGGCAAAAGTGGGGATTTAGCTTGTTTTGATTGCAGACTTTAACTGCTTAACTGCATATTAATTCACCCCTTCCATCATCAAGGGTCTGTGTTTGTATTGAGCACTTATTTCGGCTTTTGGCCAAAAGTCAAAGACCACAAAAAAAGGCGAACAGCAAAGGGGCGTGGCCGTGTGTTCTTTTGGCAGCCTTTTTATGGGCGGGGCAACCCAGAAGTTGTTCGCTTAAATTAGCTACAAAGGCAGTTTTTGGATTTTCCTTGTTTTTCGCTGTGAGAAAAAGTATATTAATATAGGATGAGCAATTTAATAGGCATTTAATAGAGTAAAATATTTATACCCGTTACTCGTAGAGTGAAAAGTTAGGAGCAAATTATGCGCTTTCCGATAGATGGCGCCACTTTTAAGCGACTGCTTGCTTTGCTGCATGCGTATCTCAATGAGTGAAGGGTATTTGATAGTCGAGATACTCTACTAAAATTAGAAGACTCGAATCCCCTTATAAAATATTAAATTTTAAATATTCCGAAAAAGAGTCGCAATTTATTGAAATTTACAGTTTAAGAATCAGATTGTTGGGGTTGTTAGGGGTTATCCTTCCAATCGCTGGTATCCTTCAATAGTGCCTACGCTGGCGATATCCTGGGGGCAGATATCGGGTAGCCGGAGCAGGAGCAGGGACATGCGACGGGGCCGAACCACGATAACCACCACCAGCGCCATAAGAGCTGCGTCTGTAAAAATAAATATATGATAAAATATATAAATATTCCATATCCAAATAATAGCTAGTGATAGACTCACCCTGCTGGGGCAGCGGGCACCGATGGCGAAACGGGCAGATGGGCTCCCTCCGCCTGGAATCCATTCTTGTCCGCCTTGTAGTTCACAGTGTACTGCTTGCCATCGTCACCGGTATACGAGTAGGATCCCTGGACACCCAGCGATCCGTGGGGCCATCCTCCGCGGAACTCGCCGGTCTCATCGCGATGGATTCCATTGCCCGTGTCGAAGCTGCAAAATGAGGGGGTGGAAATTAGTTTTGGTCTTATGTAGGTATATTTCCGAGGGCAAAGTTCCTTTTATTTCGGAATTAATATTTTTCAGTATATTATAGTATAAAAAGAAACTTCATCAATGTGAAAACTCAAATTTACTAGGAAAAACTAATTATACTTATTTCTGCTTCGAAAAAAATCCTTTAAGTTTTCATTTAATGAGTTTTGTAGAGCCTAATGAATTTAAATTTGTATGGCTAATATTATTTTGAAATATAACAATTTTTTATGCTTTTACTGTGATAATAGTTTTTACACTCCTTTAATTATAATTAAAATATTTGTATATTTTAACATTAATAAGTTATATTTTTCGATTTATAAAAATCGGACTCTATATTCTTCTAGTTCGCAAAAAATTAGGAATATGTCAAAAGTTATAGGGAAGAAAAATGTAGGCATGGGTGTGTAAAAAGTAAAAGGAAGTGTGGTATTAAAAAAGTATGGATGTTCAAGTTACCCGAAGTTGTAGTTGCCATTGGCGTCGCTCTGGTAGTCGCTCCTCACGATGGGGATCTGGGGTTGCTGCTGGCGCTGGAAGCTGGAACCGCCGCCGACGCCGCCGAAGGAATGTCCTGCGCCAGGACGAGCGTGTCCCTGGCCACTGACGCCGTGGTAGTGCAGCTGGCTGGCCTGCGGAGTGGGCAAATACCGCTGGCTAAGACGACCGGCCAGAACGGAGGCCGAGGAGAAGCCCAAGAGCACGAGGGCAACGGTCAACAACTGGGGTCGCAACATTTTTGTGCTTTTCGAAAAAAGATCACAGATCACTCAGGCCACTCGCAAAAAAAGCAAAAAAAAAAAAAAGGAGCCAAGTAATAGATTTATGCGAATTCTCGATTTGGGAACGCTCGAACGGCAACTGCTGGCGAATCCGGTGGAGCGATTTGGTTTTATAGCCCCTCCATCAAACACTCACACTCCGACAAACATTCCATGCTCGGTTTTAATTGTTTTCTGTTCAACTTCTTCTTCGCCTTTTTTTGCTTGGCTGAGATTTTGGTTGTTTTTGTTTTTCGTTTGTGTTTGCTTTTGGCCGTTTAATTAGCCAAAAGGCAGACGCGACCAGCAAACAATTTTTGGAATAGTTTTTTTTCGATCCCCTCAAGGCCCGCCCTTTTTGGTTTTTTGTTTTCCTCGGTGGGTTTGCGGCTTCGGTTTTGGCCTGCGACCCGCTGAGTGCTGCATATTGTTAGTACATGCCACTTGGCACTTGGTCAAAATTCTGCGGCCAAACTAATTATATGTAGCAACGGAGCAGAGGGGTCAACCTTTTGGGGGTTGTCTTTTATATCTCACATGCTGCAATACGGACATTTAAGACTTTTCAACAATATTTTGAGTCTGATTCAGATAAAACTGATTGGATAAAACAAAAAAAATAATGAAATTGGACTCTAAAGAAAGGTTGTAATACCTACTTCACAAATTTGCATTATCAATAACTAAATCAAAAGAATTGGAACAAATCGATTTCTTATTCTAAAAACAAAGTTAAATAAATATATTTGTATAAAATATTAAAAACCAAATTACATTACATTACATTACATTATTACATTATTAAACATTTATTGAATTATTCAAGGGAACGAAAACTAAAAAAAAAAAACAATTTAATAAATAAAAAAGGAATAGTAAATTACGGGAAAACAATGCAATTTTGACCGTTATCTTTTTCAAGTAATTTGCATAAACTTTCAAGCCTTTTTTATTTTTACGGGAATTATTAAATTCTGGCATACATAACAAATAGCAATATAAAATCAAATGACTCGGAAAACACAAAAATTTATTTGAGCCTGTTTAATGCCCACTTCGTTATATTTGTAAAATAAAAAGTACCAATTTGCTTTTGACAGTTTTCTAATTTTAGGTTTTGAATAGATCCATGAATCTGTTTCTATTTTTTTTCAAAATAATCTATGATCTCCGCGCCTGTCTGCTATTAAAGGTAGAATCGTAAAAAAGAAACGATAAATGCAAAGAGAAAAACACTTTTGCGGAGTTCCGGTTCGCGATTCGCTGGCTCTCGAGTGGTTGGGGCTACCCAAAAATGCCCTCACTCGAGGGCCATTACAACAAAAGTCGCCGCTCAATTCTAACAAAACAACTCGAGGGGGCATCAAAGTCGACTCTGATGATGGTGATGATGATGATGATGTTGATTGGGATCAGTGGATGTTGATGAACCGATGATGATGGGGAAGAGCTGAGACGATTAAGATCTGATGATGTTGTATGGCCTGAAAACGGTAGCAAAGTTTGGCAAAATTCCTCAATGGATTTGTGTATAAGTTTTATGACAATTAATAGGTGTCGAAACAGCTGGAGGTATTAGAAGGTTCAAGAGTTCAGGGTTGAAGATCCATGTCGAATTTCCGTGGAACTTAATTAGGTTTCTTTTCATTCCTTATAGTTAAAGAAAAATAGTTAACTATCTTTATTATATATGTATTATGTTATGCTTTATGCTTTACTTTAACATCACTGAAGCTAATAAATGGGTGTGAAAACGATGGGGGATCCTACATAAATGGGTTGATAAGTTCAAGGCCAACCATTCATCTTAAGCAACTTTCAGCTGAGTCAGTTATGATTTACTTTCCTCATTTATTCGCATCACATTTTCACCCACTAACAATAAACCCATTCAACTGGGATTAATGGTTAAAAATACTTTTGCAGCATCATCTTAAGTCGATAGTAAATTGCAGTTGAACCCAAAAGCTGAAATAAAAATACGAATACGTATGGAACTGGTTTTCGTGGGGCTTATTATGTTTGTTAGGATTTCCCAGCACAGAACATACAACAAATTGAATTCTGACCATATCCGCAATTATGATGATAATCGCGTCGAATTTGTTATTGTTCGGGGTGTTTAATAATGGTTAATAATAAACCGCCAGCGCTGCAAAACTCCATTAATTAATAATAATAAATGATGAACTAATCAAATAAAAGCGTGAAAAGTGAAGCTGCGATGTTAATGATGCTTGAGGCGCGCAGATCATTCATTAGTTGGTTCGTGTTAGTTAATTTTAACATGCCAGTGTGCCCAGTATGTTGATAAGGTGCAGCCACACTAACGGTAATGAACAGCCACATCTAAAACGAAGTGCAGCCACACTGGAAGCCAAGTACATACACACCAATTGAACGCTTCGCTGGCGACGAAAAGTGCAAAATGCACAGTTAGCCGCGACACTCGCTAATGGCTTCTCATTATGTTCCATTAGCGGTGACTGTACCTTGTCCACAGTCCATCCTCCCCTTCCCCCCCTCTCTCACTCTCTTCGTCTTTCCTTCTAACATTTTGCTTCTGTTTCTACCTCTGTTTCTCTCGATAGCTCATAATTTATGCAGCTTGGCAAAGTTTTCGTGTAAGAAGGTCTGGCTTAAGCGCTTAAGCGGATGTAATGCCAGTCGCAAATGAACTTGTAATTTACAATGCATCTGACACTGACGACTGACAGGTGACTGTACCCAGGTACTCGATGCTAGTACTCGTTTTTCGCAGCACTTGGTCAGTGCTTTGTCGGATTCTTGGCTGGACTTAATCTGGGGCTTTAAAGCAAGCTGGTTATCTTTGATGATGATGGAAGGGATTGGCCAATTTCGCCTATGCTTGATATAACTAGTAGTTTTCAGTTTTCTGTAAGCGATATTTATGGGTATTGCTTGAGCAATGGGAGTTCAGTTAGTTATAAAACATTTTAAAGAATAAATAATAATTTTTTAATCTCAATCATTATAATGAGCTCAAAACATTTTAAAGCTTGTATAAATGTTTGGTAGAATTATTTTTCGCAGTACCTTTAGCCGATTTAGGTTAGCTTTATCCCCTTAGAGCTCACTCGTCTGTGGCTAATTTAATCATGAATGAAACTGCACTGCAATGCGTTCATTTTTTTCAGTTTTCATTTTCTGGGAAATTCAAGTAATCGCCTTAAAGGAAGTGAAGAAGAGAAGTGCGGGGTAAAAGTAAACATTTGCCTAGGCCAAGAGCCTGTTTCAGTACTCCCAACGTTCCCGGCAGGATTCTCGATGCCAGTGCGATAAGAACTTCAGTGACGGGAAAAAGGGGGGTTGGGTATAAGAATGGCCTGTCATCGCTCTTATCGCGTTTTTCCTCTTCTTTTCGTCCTCATCGACTTGTTATTTCCGTTTATGATTTTTCCTTTGAACTTTTCCTTTTCTTTGCGCTGCAAAAAATGTCAAATTCAGCTATTTGTTTAATTGAAAATTTAAAAGAAATAAGGGCTGTAATACCCCTCATACGGGGCGTGTCCAATTGTTGTGTGTCATTAATTTAAATTAGAGCTTGAAGTCCCGATTTCCATTTCACATCGATTTGCTACTTCACTGGATACGTTAAATGGGGATGGAGTTGAAAGTCGGCGGATTATGTGATCAGCTAGATAAAGTGAACTCATGGGGGGAGAACTTACAGTACTGCTGCCTACTCTATGTAATTCATATATTATAATTTTTTTAAAAAACCTTACCCCCTAAAAAAAATATATTACTCAAATTTCATATATACTTAAAGATTTAAATATAAAAATGTATTATTTTCTTGAGTATCTTTATCTACTTGGTTCCTGCCCTTCCTGTTTGTCTTGTATCCCTCCTTCAAAAGGAACTTTAACTTTTTGCTTATCGCCTTTAGCCTGGCAACAATAACAATTTGTTGCTAATGCACATTGCTGTTTGTTTAACCCACACACACACACACATACATACGAACCACCACCCCCCAGCACCTTTTCATATAGTCAACCCCCCTCCCAAAGCTGACTTCCCCGCCCATGACTAGCTGTGGGAACATGAGCTAAACTACTCATTAAGCCAACTTTGGCGTTTGTCCATATGAAACTCAAGCGATTTGTACAGAGTGCGTTGGAAAAAAGGGGAGATGCGATGCCTGGATGACAGGGGCGGGGCTCTTCAAGGGGGTGGGGTGGGTTTGATTAAGCAATTCCAGGCGGAAATTAAATGGACACGCAAAACAAACTGTGAGCTGGAAAAGCTGCTCCCAAGGATCACTACACCAGTAAACAGAGAAAAAAGGGTCATTCGGATGGGATGACCCCCTTGGGCTCTCGTCTCTATCAAACTTAACTGAGCAGCGCTCAAGTGAGAAGATTAAATCGCCATAAATATTAACTACAGTTGTTTCCCCATTTGAAACGGGGCTATATGTGGGTGGGTGGTGGATTGCTGCGTTGCTGGGTCCACGGACTTCCACCGAAAGGTAAGGTAAGACAATTCGAAAGCGCTCGCCTTGATTTAGCACCGGAAGGCACGCACACCACGTGCCCCGAGTTCAAGTCTCCTGGTCGCCCCCCCCTCCATTTTCATTCCACCCCGCCCCTGGCCGCGGGCAAGTGTACAAATCAAATGATTTATTGGACCACGGTCAGTTGTTGTGGCATGCGAATTTGGAGCATCTCGCGTGAGAGGTCCACCAAATAATTGAAACGTACGTCTGTCAGTCCGAAAAAAATAGGGGAAAACATGGTACACGGTGCAAGTTGAGGGATCACTGGGCGGAGACGTCCACCTGGTGCGGAAAATTCGTTTCCAGGCGTCTGCTAATTGCTGACGGGGTCAAAGGTGGTGGGGGGAATGTCGGGGCTCCTGATGAATTACTGGACTCGCTTTTTGGGGTACCAGTTTATTTTTAGAAAAAAAAAGTCTTAATTAAGCATTGTTTAGAGCAATAATATTATCTCTATACAATACGTTTTAGTAAGGAACTAACTAACTTGGATCACAATTATTTCCGTAACAAACAAAAATAACATACATTTTTTAAAAGTATATAACTATTTTAATTTAATT